TGAACTAAAATAAGCTAATTTTTTTGAGAATTTCATTAGAATTAAAAACTTTTAAAAAGTAGAATCGATTAGAATCTCACGTTGTCATTCTATGCTCCTGCAGTTAAAGACCATGCCATTATTTCCATTATACTTACCTCCTAATTTTCAGGGCTTATTAGTCTGGCTGTAAAAACTTGTTCCAGTTGAAATTTGGCAAGCTGACAAGGCTGTGTGCCAGAAGTAATTTACTATCCAGTGCGGTTTACAAAGTAAAAGAATCTATATATAATAGAAAAAGAAACGAAACGTTCCTGGTTCCAAATATTTTAATGTGTGTAATGTGTGTCACCTCAAACTTTTCAGCTTTTGTTGTTAGCAATGTGAGATAACATGAAAGGTTTGAAAAGTACAGATGCTTTGCATTCGGATCAAACTGGGGGCTCCAACGTCCCCCAGCATCAAAGACCAGTCTGTGTCTATCACTTCTGCTCTGACTTTGAAGTCTACTAGAGGTCTCTGTGTGGAAGAAGCAGGCAGGGATATTCAAACAAGGTAGGGGGATGGGACTCCAGGTGTCTCACTTCTCATTATCACTGAAATTAGGTACTTCCCTCTCAGGGCTCTGTGTACTGGAGGGAAGATGAGTGTTTCTTTCTCTGCTGTTTTAACCACTAAGATGTCTGTGAGCTTATATTCAGATGTGACAATAAATGCTCTAAGGGAAAGTTCCAGTCCACTTGGAAGTTTATGGTCAAATACTTTGAAAGCAATAATAGACATTTCCACTTGATCCGCAAATACCTGGCTACAGTCATCTTGCTGAATCCTTTTAAGAGATTGGCTCAAGATCCTAACTGAGACCTCTCCTCACTATTTTCCAAACTGAGTCATGAGCCCTAAAATGGGGGCTGAGTGTTTATCCAAATGATGAGTTGGGTAGATATTTCTGGGCTCAATCTTACTCAGCAATATGGGAGGAAATCACATTATTTTATAGTAAAATGAATATGAATATACTGTGGGCTAGAATACAAACTTTGCATGAAGTTTTGGATGGGGCGAGGCTTCAGTCAGCCATGTTTCTGTATTTCTGACCCTGTCACACACTTAAAGATAACACTTAAAGAGAATTATATCTTCAAAAAGAATATTCATTTTTTCTTTTAAATTAAAGTATAGCTTTGAGAAAGTGTACATATCTTAAGTGTACACCCCTCAATGGATGGATTTTACATAGCTTTAAACCCACGTAACCACTACCCAGAGAACATTTTTCCAGCTTCCAGTTAACCCTCCCTTCTATAAGTGAAGCCATCTGCTATTTTTCGATTACCTTTTGCCTTTTTTCACTGAACATAATCCCTTCCAGTTCCATCCAAGTTGCTGTGCATGGCATGAGTTTATCTTTTTTGATTGCTGAGTAGTATTCCTTTGTGTCTACATACCACATCTTCTTCCTTTTTTAAAGATTTGTTTATTTATACACACAGAACCTGGGGTACAGGCCAGAGATGCAGGGGCTGTGCAAGGCTTCGCCAGAAACAGAGTGGGGAGCAGAACAGGCAAATCGACACAGTATACTGCTGAAGGGAGCAGTGGGTGAGACAGGAGAAGTCTGCAGGGCCATGTGGATCACCTCTGGGACAGGGAATAGAACTCGCACTAAAGTGGCTGTGGTTAGCTTGCAGTGCTGCTTCCTAACCCATTGCGCCACCAGGGAGGGCCCCCGCATTTTTCTTAAGTCAGTCATCTATTTTAGACATTTGTGTTGTTTCCATATCTTATCTATTGTAAATAGTGCTGAAATAACACAGGGATGCTGGTATCCTTTTGAATTAATGTTTTTGTGTCCTTTGAGTATATTCCTCTTAGTAGAATTGCTGGGTCATAGGGCAGCTCCATTTTTAGTAGTTTGAGGAAACTCCACACAGTTTTCTACAGTGATTGGACCAGTTTGTATTCCCACCAGCAGTGTAGGAGAGTTCCTTTTCCTCATATCCCTACCAACATTTATTGTTTCATGGCTTTTTTAAAAAATATGAGCCATTCTCACTGGTGTTAAGTGGTATCATTATGGCTTTGATTTGCATTTCTCTGATTATAAGTGATGTTGAATATTTTTTCATATACATGTTGGCCATTTGCATTTCCTCTTTGGAAAAGTGTTTAGCTCTTCTATCATTTTTTTTTGATTGGATTGTTTACTGTGCTTTTATTGAGTTGTGTGAGCTCTTTGTAGATCTTTGTGATCAGTCCTTTATCACTTATATGGAATGCAAAAATTTTCTCCCAATCAGTGTGGTGTCTCTTTGCTTTGGTTAATGTCTCTTTTGCTGTACAGAAGATTTCAGTTTGAAGTAATTCATCTGCTTATCTTTTCTTTCACTTTCTTTGCTTTGGAGGATGAGCCTTTAAAGATGTTACTGACATGTATATCATGTAGTGTTTTATTTATACTTTTCTTCTATATATTTTATGGTTTCAAATCTTATGTTCAAGTCTTTTATCTATTTTGAGTTGTTTTTTGTGCATGGTGTGAGGTAGTAGTCTAATTTCATTCTTTTGCATGTGGTGATCTAGTTTTCCCCACACCATTTGTTGAACAAACTGTCATTGTTCCATTGTGTAGTTTTTGCTTATTCATCAAAGATTAGTTGTCCATATATGTGTGGCTTTATTTATGTTTTTCTATTTGATTCCATTGGTCTGTGGACAGTATGATGCTGTTTTAATTGCTATGGATTTGTAGAATAGTTTGAGGTCTAGACTTGTAATACCTCAATTCTCTTTTTTAATCAGGAGAACATTGTATGCCCATTTTATTCTTATTTTTTTTCAATCCAAGTAGGTCAATACAACTATCATTTATTAATCACTTTTATTTTAATGTGATTTGGAATTGTGCTTATTGCCTTTATTTTAAAATTTATTTTCTTACATCTCTGTTCATTTTTGACAATATTTGATTTCTCCACTCATGTGTAGTTCCATAAGTCTCCCATGACCACCACAACATTGGCAAACTATCACCACAGTCCCTTGTGCTCTTCCCTCTCCTACTTTGACCCATTTCTTTCCTCTTTCCCACTGTATGCCTCAGACCTATAGTTTGTCTACAAGTTTTCTCTCTCTCTCTCATCTTTTTTATGGTGAATTTTAAAGCTCAAATACAAGACTAAGATAAGTCAAGCTGTCTAGGTGTGCTCCATTGCTCCAGACATAAGCACTTTCTCTCCTCTCTTAAGTACACTCAATTAATAGTTTTTGAGACCCAGAGGGCATAATACAAGCACAATTTTGTCTGCTGAGTTGGATTTTTCCTAGTGGGTGCTTTTAGCTCCTTAAGAGCTCCTTCTTGGGGGCCTGCCTGGTGGTGTGGGTCAAAGTCTCAGTGCTATCAAGCTACCACCAGCCACTATGGCTTGAGTTCTATCCCTGGCAAGGGAGCTAATGCACATAGTACAGCAGACTTATCTTTCCTGCTGCTCCCCTCAGCAGTGTATTTCAGCACATCTGCCTGTTCTGCTCCTTTCTCTGTCTCTGGAGAATCCTCTCAATTCAATGAAAGAGATCCTTCTTGGACTGAGTCTTAAAAGTATTTGTGACATAATTAGGGGAGTTTTCTTAGAATGGTGCACATTGTAAATCCTAGAGAAATAACTATTTTTATGAGATGCTGAAGTGACAAAAGAGAAACAAATTTCACTTTAATACATTGAAAGTAATAAAGATAGAAGCTTAATTTTAAAGTAAGAGAGTATATATAGTTGGGTTGACTTAAAAATTGTCATTATCTACCAAGTGTGCCTTGAAAGATTACAATCCATCAGAAATTGTTGACATCCTTGTTCATAAAGAAATTCAGCAAATGTCTTAAGTGCTTATCACTTATTAAGTACTTAGTATAGCTAGAAATTGTTCTAAGTTCCCAAGGTGAATACAACAAAAAACAAAGCCAGCCAAATTCCCTGCCAGTGTGATCATCCTCGTTCTATTAATGCAGGCCCCAGAGATTTTCCTATTACAAAGCAATTTAATCTTTATTTTATGTCCATGATTTCCTTCCATACTGTTCATGATTTACAGCTGAAGGGAATAAATACACTGATGAAACTCCAGTCAACCTTTACCACATTCTGAGACCAGCCAGGTCAAGTGTGAAAGGAAAAAAAAAGGCAAGGCAAGGCAAGGAGTGGAATACAGTTCATTGGTAACTAAGCCTTTCATAAATCACACAGAGGATCAAGGTGCTAAAAACGAGTGTTGAAATAAACAGGTCTAGCAAGAACGCCTGCTTTGGTTTTTTAAATCATCTTCCAAAAAGAACTAACCTGGATGGTGTAGTTATTATTTTAGGGTTAATAATTGCATCGAAAATGTCCTTTCCAAGCTGATTTGTTTGATGGTTCTTTTATATCTTAATGATTTTTTTTGGTAATTGAAAATTAAAATGTTTTGATATTCACCCTAAGTTATGTATTGAGAAATAGTCAGAATAAATTTCAAGTAATAAAAATTTCTCCTCATTTTAAAATCAGTTAACACGAGAAACACTTGTTTTATCACACTGGCTTACTAAAGTAGCTAGCTTTGGCTAGCCTGATCAATTTTGACGTCCTTCCACCGACTTTTGGAACTACGTTGTCCTCTATCCTTCCCCTGAGCTTTATTTTTATTTTATGGGTCTTGGTGTGGGAAAGACAGGAACAGAATTAAAAAAGACGGTCATACACTTCAGAAAACGCACTTCGCGCCTATCATTCAGGTAAACCTTACAGACTTGGAGAAGATCCTTCCACCCCCGCCCGCCTCTAGCTGCGCGCGCACTTAGCTCCGCCTCATCCAGACCCCGCCCCTCTACCCAGTCCACAGAGTCGTACAGCCCAAGGTCGGGAGAGGTCCTCGCTGCAATTCTACAGTCAGCCACGGGGTGGGGATAACGACGCAAGAGTCAAAAGAACTCCCACCTTAGGCAGCGGAAACGGAAAGGGCGGGACCTGTGGCGCACGTTGCGTCAACACGCGGAGACTCCTTGGAATAGAAGGTGGGCGCTTCCTGCGCTTCTTGGCGGTACCTGCCTTGGATGTAGAATTCAGCCCTCATGGCAGAGATAATTCAGGAACGCATTGAAGATCGACTCCCCGAGTTGGAACAACTGGAACGCATTGGACTGTTCAGCCATAAGGAAATTAAGTGAGGGAGCTGAGGGGAAAGAGCTGGGGCAGGCTGAGGGGAGGTTGGGGAGTTGTGTGTGGTGGGGAGCGGGGGAGTCAAGTCTGCGGGGGCAGCTGAATTACTTTTCCAAATTTGGTGAAAGCCCGTTTCCGGATTTTAATGATGCTCAGAATTAATTTCCATTGCAAAGTAATCCGTCCGTTTATCCACTAAACAGACTTTGACAGCTTTTCGTTGAGTTAGGTTATGCTAGAAGTTAATAAAACTGGTTTCTGGGAAGTTAACAGCTCACTGTGTTTGGTGGGAAACAATTTACTACCGTGAACGCTACTATAAGTTGATTGGGAGGAGTGGGTAAATCTTTATAATCTTAAAGATGGGGGCAGTTTAATTTAGTTACCTAGACCCCAGAGAGCAACGCCTGGTACGTAGTTCTCATTTGTGACTAACCCCACTTTCCCTCTCCCCCCATGTCTTCATTTTGCGGTGACTGAATTCAATAATGTGACCGTGAAGGCTTTAAACATTTACTAGTGAGAAGAAACATAGCGCATGGGCTCTTAATGAGTGCTCAGTACACGTTTTAGTTACCATTCAGAAGGGGTTTTTTTTTTTAATTGGTCTTGCACATCTTGTGTTAAATTCTCCTTATATATTCTCCTGATGTATGTTCCTTGGCTAAAGACAGTGAATCTTCTTCCATTAAGTCTTGTAATAATTAACTTTCTAGGAATATATAGGTTTCTTCCTTTTTAAAATAAATTAGAATGTTGAAAATTAAGAAGAGGAATTTAAGAAAGAGTTTGGTTATTGTTAAAGATCTACGTATCCTGAGTTTGGAGGGAATGAAATCGTTACTGATACCACACTGAAAATTACTAACCTTTGCTTTGCTGGTGGGTATGTCAGGGGTCTTGGCAAATGATAATGAATTATGGGGAATTATACATAGTTTGGTAAATTTGTTTTCTGCATATATTACAAATAAATTTACTATTTGATTTTATTAAACATAAAAACTCAGTTACTTAATTTTTGCTTTTTAAACTTTGTTCTTTAAAGTGTTACATTTTAAGTGACTTATTTTCTAGGGCTATCATTAAGAAGGCTTCAGATCTAGAATACAAAATACAGCGAAGAGCTCTTTTTAAGGA